AAGTTTATTTGAAAACTCATTAGAAAACTTAATTTTTTTTTTTTTTTTAATATACGCTTCCAACAAGACTGCATAGAGTTAGAAGTTACTGGAAGAGAAAAGATGAAGATTATAGAACAAGATAAAGATTTACAGACGACTTAAGAGATTGCAAATTATATGAATCAGAAAAGCTAGATGAAGAAAACGAATTCCAAAGAATTGATGTTCAAGAAAAAAAACAAAGCGATTTAGAGTTTTTGGAGCACTTAGGAACAGTCACAGAAAAAGATTGAGACTTAATTGAATGACGAGTAACAGGAAACGAATTTAGTAGATGGCACAATAGACGATAGGTCTTTAGAGCAGTGGCCACTATAGTATTTTTAGAAAAGAGAAAGAAAAGCAACATTCGAAAATGGTTGAGATTGGCTGCAAGAGCAGTTACATCAATGTTTACAATGCGTTTTTGCACCTTGTCTAAAAGAGAAAGAGCATCTTTAGAAGATCCGCCCTAGATATGGCAGCAGTATTCCATACAAGACCAGACTTGAGATTTATAAAGATAGAGAATAGAATCATGAATAAGAAAGTGTGGAGCTCGATAAAGAGATGCAACTTTAGCAGGTGCTAATTTTGCAACGGATTTAACATATGGTTTTCAAGAAAGATCAGAAGTAAGAATTAATCCTAGAAGATGAAGAACAGATAGATACATTACCGTTCACAAATATAGGAAGATCTAAACTATTATGACAACAATTGGCTGAAAAAAATTGAGTTATCTGAATTAAAGTTCACGAGCCACTGTGAGTCCCATGCTGTGGCAGAAGTGAGATCCTTTTCAAGCTCAAATGCCCCCTCCAAGCAATCAGAGAGTATTGGCCTCTTATCATTACAAGAATACATGGTAGTATCATCAGCAAACAATGCCATCTTAGATATGAGAATATCTGGAAGATCGTTAATGTAAATTAAAAAGAGTATAGGGCCAAGGATCGAACCGTAAGGAATCTCTTAGGTTACAGAAAAAGAAGAAGAGTGCTGTCCATCAAGGAAAACTTTTATACTACGATTAGAAAGGAAGGATTCAGTAATCTTACTAATGTTACCAGATACACCATAAGAAGAAAGTTCAAGGAAAAGACTAGCATTCCAATCTTTATCAATGATCTTACCTCTCTACCTCTACCTAGTGAGCGATAAAACCTATCGTGTATTACTGTTAACAAATCAGATGTAGAACGAGAAGATCAAAATCCATATTGGTGATCAGAAAGTAAGTTATTAGATTCAAGATGAGAGATTAAGTGTTTGGTAATTAAAGATTCAAAAACCTTGCTTATGATAGGAAAAAGTCTAATGGAACGGTAGTTAGACAAATCAGATCGCTTTCCACAATTTTTAAAAATAGGTATAACAGATGCTGCTTTCCAGCAGACTGGAAAACAACACTCTGATAAGCACTTGTTGAATAATTTTGAAAGGATAGACGGCATCTCCGGAGAAAACTTGTGCAAGACTAAAACAGGTATATTGTCTGAACCACAAGCTGTAGAAAAGTCTAAGCAGGAAATTACTTTAGAAACAGAAGCTGGAGTGATAAAAATGTCAAGCAATGAATCGACTTGTTTGATGGTTATATTAGGTAGAACGCAACTAGTGGAATTAACAGATGATATTAATGAAATTTCTTAGCAAAAAATTCAGCTTTGTCTTTAGGTGAGGTGACAAAGTCTGAACCATACAAAAGCGGTGAAATTACAGATTTGCCCTTATTAAAGATTCTCCAGAAGTCACGAGAGCCTAATTTTTGTGATAATATACGAGATTTCATGACCTGAGATAAACGGGTTTTGGCGTTAGACAAAACCTTTTTAAAATGGTTTCTAGCAGTAATAAACAGATGTCTGTTTTCTGGAGAATTTTTTTACTGATAGATGTGGAAGTTACAATTTGAATTGGAAATTGCTGCTGCACAATGTGAGGAAAACCGCGGAGATGAGTAAGGCTTGATCTGGAATCGTCGAGAGAAAATAAAAGAGAACATGCCAGCCTGAGTCCACAAAGTTATGTAAAAAGTATATTTCTCAACAGGAAAACGAAAGATTACCTAAGAGCCATCACTAAGAAAATCAAGGAAAGAATACCAGTAAGCTTTAAGGTAGTTGTAAGAGGTTAGAGGTACAATGATAAGGAGAATAAGATGATGAGGAAGAATGAGATAATAGTTTTAGAGAGATCAAACTGTGATCAGACACACTTAAAGATGAATGTGGAGAAATTCAGCACTGACTAGGATCAGATACAAGATACAATTCGAGTAGAAGATGTAGATGATTCGGGTTGTCTGGAAAGCGAGTTGGAAAGTTGACTTTTTGAGTTAGGGATTAAGAAAGGAAAAAGGTTTTGTCCTTTAACGTCGTCAGAATCACTGACACTAGAACCAAGTCGTTCAGTTTGATGAGCATCAAAGTCTCCGACAAGGACATTATTGGCTGATGGATAAAGAAAGGGGACTTGGTCAATGTTATCAGAAATAATATCAAGAAGAGTGAAGTTTTGAGATGAAGGAGAGCGATAAAGAATAAAGAGAAAAGCGATAGAGTTAAGTGGTGCTAAACGAAACACATAAAAGATTATTCTGCGGATTCAAATCTAGTTACACAAGTGGGTTAATTCTTAAGAATGTAAATGCCTAAGCGAAGCATGTGACTCTTAGAGTCTTTACAAAATAAGGGAAGATAACGATTAATACTGAGATCACAAGATGAGTCAACTGAACTCAAATTAGTCTCACAAAGAGCAAGTAGGTCTGGTGAACTTTACAAGAGATAAGACTCAACAGAAGAAAAGTTTCTTCGAAGATCACGAATATTAGTGAATAATAGGCCCGCAGAACCTGGTGATGACAATATTTTTTTGTGTTTTATAGTTTTAAGTAATGTATTCATTTTTAAGTTTGTTAAAGAACTTGACTCAAAGCCTAGATAGTATTCAGTACACTATTTAATATCCAAAGCAATTGCCTCATTACTAATAATATGCCCTAAGCCGTAATAAAGGGCTTCAAATGTGGCCTTGGCAATGCACACAAAAAGTAAAAACAAGGACACCATCCGTGCGCAACATGGCACTGTTAATACTTTCAAACTTTCCAGTTGTTGATGGAATCAGCCTAACTGACAACTACCACAGACTTCGGGAAACTTGACTACCAGCCGGCCTTAGAACCATAAAACTGAGTTTTAGAGATGTAACCTTATTAGGAGATAATAGAATGAGTTGTATAGTTATAAAAAGAGAGACAAAAGCAAAACCCATGCATTGAGTCAAGAAGATCCAGCATTCAACATCCTAAACTGTAAACAATGTATCAAAAATACATCTGATCATTAGATAGAATACGTTTACCCCTTAATTTAGTTAAATTTTAGGAACGGTACTAAATAAATTTTAAACAGACTCTTCTAGAATTTTAAACAGACTCTTTTAGAAACAAAGCTGGCCATGCATTCGCACATTTTTAATGTAATAATAAATGCTGTCTCTAAAGGTAAAAAGTTTGAATATTCTGCGTAAAGACAGAAACCTTCCTCTTGATTACATACAAGAAAAATAATAAACTTAGAAAAATAAGCTTAATAATGTTTTGTTTATAGTAAATAGATTAAATTAAATTTATTTTAAAAGCACTAGCAAATATTTAAATTAAATCGTAAATGAATTAAAAAAATTAAGTAAACAGGTAACTTTTAATAGTAAGTAGAAAATTGAAATAAGGATTTAACTTTTTCTTATTGGAAACAACAAGCTACTGAACCAAGTAACAACTTCAACTCTTAACCAACTTTTACAAATTTGACAATGGCAGTTGTGTAATCGTGAAGGAGGGGGAAATGATCCGAACAAGGGAGCAAGCAATTACGTCAAAAAATTTAATTTCTAGGTTCTAATTGAAAAAATTAATTGTAAAAATAATATAGTTTACCTTTCTAGGGACAAGTAAACTATATTATTTTATATATATATCGTATGAAATATTAAAAGCACTTTAACCAAAGACTTATTTAACATTTTTAATAATCAACAGGTCAATAAAAAAATTACCGTAGTAATAAATTCATTTACTTGCTGATTATGTTTTTTGGATATTCAATTAAAATATTTTAAGCGTTGGATAAACGTACCATTATAAAATTAGCTAATTAGCATTGCTCGGATCATACGCAAATGATGACTTTGATGTTGGCCCGACGCAATATGCTAACATTGTGCCAATGTAAATCAGAGCATTCGGCCAATTATATCTTACTAGCTATGTAACTGTCAAAGTACAAGTTATTTGGTTTTTAAATATTTAATATAAGTACTTTTTATTATTAACATGTTAAACTTGTTTTTAAAAGGGTTATTATTTGGTTGCCAAGTATTTTCAGACTTAATACTTAATTCTGTTGTCTTTATATATATATATATATATATATATATATATATATATATATATATATATATATATATATATATATATATATATATATATATATATATATATATATATATATATATATATATATATATATATATATATATATATATATATATATATATATATATATATATATATATATATAGCATTATAGTTATTTTTTTTAGTATTATTATGTTTATAATTTTTTATTATGTTTATTTTAGCACTATTATTATAATTTTTTTGTGCTTGTTTTGTCTTCTGCTTAAGTTAATTATTCGGTTTTATGTTTTATCAATGTTATACATCAAATGTGTATTTAAAACTATATAATTGTTTAATTATATTGTTAGAATAATATAAAAAACAAAGTTTTTGATATTGTTGAGTTGCTACTGTTGAAACTGTATAATGTGAAACAGTGTAGTGTGACCAGAAAAAATTTAGGGACTTAAAGGTTGCATATGCAGTCTTATGTTGATTACATTTGAATTTTATTTCTAAAAGAAAAAGTATGTAAGGCTAAATTTGTAGTAGTAATTTTACTTACAATTTTAAATAGTTCTTTTTCACCTAAAAGTATTAAAAGTTATGATTAAGTTAAAAAAGTCATTAATAATGTTATAAAATTAATCATAAAAAAGTTAACAAATTAAATATATAATTAAAAATAAAAAATTTAATTTTTAAGTAAGATATTTTTGATGTAATATATCAAACAAAATAACGTTAAAAACAAACCGCTTTTTAAACGTTACATTTTCAACGTTGAATAAGCGTATAAATTTAAACGTATCTTATCTTCTCAAAAAAATGCGTTAATTTAACGTTGAAAATAAGTACGCAAATAAACACTGTAAAAACGTCGCAAAGGTAATGGTTTATCAACGTTAAACATTAGCTGCTTTTTGAACGAATTTAAACTATTTGAAAAACAACACTTATTCAACGTTGGTTGAAAATGTGGTAATTAAAAAACGTTGAAAAAGTGTTACTCTGCCAACGTTAATAAAACATTGTTTTGACAATGTTGAGGAACTGGCACATTGAAAATTATTGTCTCAATAACTAGCCATTACAAAAATAATTTGCCGTAATGGAAAGGAAAGGAAAATTTGATAGATGCATACATATGGTATATAAAATTTTTTAATAAAGTTATATTTTATAGCATATTTTATTGCGACTAATTTAAAACTTTTAGATTTTATATCAAAATGTATATAAAGTACATAAATCTCAGGGTAAATTCGATTTATTCAGCTTATTTTTGTCAATGTTTTATTTTGTTTTTAGTTGACGATTTTAATAAAATGCTCATCTTTTTTAAATATTTATTTCTTAGCTAGAAATAGTACTTAGTTTTAATACGATTCACATTTATAAAATATTATTAAAATTAATAAAACATAATAAGTCTGACTAAGTTAAGTAATAAATTTTTTAATTTATTTAAAAATTATCACTTATACATACATACACACATATATGAAGTCTCTCCCATTTGACAGGAGTTTTCTGAATTTTGAAAAGAAATTTATTTCCAACCTGCATTTAAAAATAATTTAAAAACTTTCTTTTCCTCACTAGTAACTTAAAATACGCCAAGATTCTAACTTTTTAAATTGTTTTTATTTTATAAGTTAAGAAAAATGGTTAAAGATTGTCAAAAATTGCTCAACACAAATAAAATATATAAAAGTATATCTATAGAGAATAATTTTCAGCTCAGTCAGTGGCCAAATTTGGACATTTTTAAGTTAGTTGTCAGAGTAATAATTCATTAAAAAACTTTTTTAGTCAATAGAGGTATTTTAGTGGACAAATATCAGGAGTTATAAAATTTTTCTAAGTCTTCCTTGTAAACATTTTCAAAACATGACAGCTATGTGTATACACATAAAAACTATATATTCATTTATATATATATATATATATATATATATATATATATATATATATATATATATATATATATATATATATATATATATATATATATATATATATATATATCTATATATCTATATTATATATATATATATATATATATATATATATATATATATATATATATATATATATATATATATATATATATATATATATATATATATATATATGTATATATATATTTATATATATATATATATATATATATATATATATATATACATATGTAAATAATGTATATATAAAGATTTATATATACATTATTTACATAAACATTAGGTTTGAAGCAGTGGCAGTTGTTCCATCTTGTTCGAAAAAAAATGGATGGTTATTTTGGCCGACTTGTGTTCATGCAATGAAAGCTACCTATAATAATTTTTCAATTGTTGATTCCTGCTACAAGCTTAGCCTTAAAAGAGTTAAAGTAACTGGAGGTCATTAAATTTTACAGTTATTATTGCTATTTTAATTGTTTCATATGAATAAAAAAACTATTATAGTTTTATATTAACGATGAAGTACTATATCAAATAAACTATTTTATTTTTATTTCGGAATAAGTAATATTTTGAATCTGTTAATGGTATTATTATTGCCTAGATATATATTGTAATCTGTTTACACTTATTCTACATTTTTTTTTTTACATAATTTGTTTATATTTATTTTACTATACTTTTACTTTATTTTACTCATTTTTTATGTGCAGGATTTAATTTCACGACTAAAGATCCAAAAAAGAATGTAAGTAATTATGTTTGTGAATAATTTTGTTTCTCTTTGGATTTAACTTTTCTTTGTTTTTTATATAGTAAAGAAAAAAAATCTTATATTAACATTAGTCAAAGCTGATTTTAATAATACTGTCTAAATTTTTTGACTTGTGGTAGTTTGATTACTAGTATATATATATATCTACTATAGCATATTTATATGCGCAATTGCTCACTTTTTTTTGCTAGCCTAAATTAAGTGAGCAATTTTAGAAAACGATGAGGGAAAACGAAGAATAATGAATGAAAATGTTGCTGACCCATACCAAACTCTCAGTCGATGTAGCAGCACTCCACGGCGAGTCAGGCTATTTGTCAGTCGATGTATGTACTGAAGCCCCCTTCAGCAGGCTATTTGACATTAGGTGAGTATGACATCATCATGCTCACTTAACTCAGCAGTATAAGATATAAATTTATTTAGTAAAATTCTGGTGGATCAAAGATCGAGGAACGATTTGGTTTTAACTAGTTTGCATCTTATGAACAAAGTACATAATATGATTTAAATTGATGATTTATAGTTACACATATTGAAGTAAGTTTTATTTAATTAATTAATGTATGAGTACATGACTATTTTTAGTTGCAAAATTTATATATATATATATATATATATATATATATATATATATATATATATATATATATATATATATATATATATATGTATATATATTTATGTATATATATATATCTATGTGTGTATATATATATATATATGTGTGTGTATATATATATATATATATATATATATATATATATATATATATATATATATATATATATATATATATATATATATATATATACATATATATATATATATATATATATATATATATATATATATATATATATATATATATATATATATATATATATATATATATATATAATTGTTATTATTATATATATTATTATTATATATTATTATTATTATTATTATTATTATTTAATATATAATAATAAGTATAGGGTTTTTAGTTGCCAATATAGGAATACCAACAATATTGCAACATTTTTTTGTAGTAAATAAATGAATTTTGTTGTCTAACAAAAATTGTGGATTTTAAGTCCAGAATTTAAATCCATAAGACACAGCAAGCCTTAGGTTATTGCAGAAGAGAGATCTGATTTTAAATTTTCTGCTTGTTCTAAGCAATTAAAAAGTGAAGATTTATTGTCAAGAAAAGAGTATAAAGTGGAGTCATCAGCAAATAGAGCCACTTTAGATTTCATTATGATTATTATTGTAGATAAAAATACTACAGGAACAAATATAGAACCTTAAAAATACTTGAAATAAAGAGGGTAGGGCTTCAAGAATAACTTCACTACTGTCGTTAGAAAGAAGTAATTTAAATACCTCAAAACTATTTCATAGAAAGTTATAATAAACTAATAACAAAGTGAAAAAGAATCGTAGGATACTTGGAGAGGTCAAAGTGTTTTCTAGAGATTTTAAAAATTGGAACCACGTATTTAGCACTTTTTTATTGTTTAGCAAAAATTGTAGATAGATGGAAAACACTTTTTTAAGACTATGATGGAAATCTTGCTTGAAGCACACATTGTAGAAGTGTTTAATTGAGAATTAGTTTTAGTATTGGAAGTTACAGTAGTTTCGATGTTTAACAATGGATTAATTTAAAGTTTAGCAAAAATATTTTACTGTCAGGAAGTGTATAAAATAATTTATCTGAATGTGGAGTCAATGTACAAGCACCATCTGGGGTTTATAAAGCTACAATGTCTCAATGTATATTCCAGAGTCAAACTAGAGTAAGATTTCTTTGTAAATAGCTCTGTTTTACTCTGGGGTAAAGTAAAAAGATGAGACGTATAAGTTAGAGATTAAACGTTAGACTTACTTTAGTTAATAACACTGATGAAAACTAACCAAAAGTCTCTAGGATCAACATCTTAGATAAGATACAAGGTTTAGTAAACTGAGAATAACAGAGATTTACATCAGACAAGACTTTATTTATACATTAGCTTATTGCAATAATAAAAAGGACAATTTTTTCTTAACAGAGATGTGCTTATAAAAAAGCTGAAAAACGTAATTAATGTTAAAAAATGTAGTAAAACTGAAGTGAAGTAATAAAAGCTTCCAAACTTTTATTCCAGAAGCAATATAAGCTTCCAAGAAGCACTTTTTGCTCACATATTATGGATATAAGCATATCTGTTTGCTATTTGTTTGGATGCTGGCATACAATATCCTTTCATTGCTGTATAAACTTTAGTATTTATATGGTGTAGTATTTGGCGAAAGAGAAAATGATCAGATGGATGTGTTGTGTGACTCTAACAAGATATAAAAAGTAGGCATATTCTTAGACAGATTAGAAAAAAAGTTGTATCAAAGAACCTTTTTTTTTAGAAAAAGTTAAAGTAATTCAGGTATTAACATGTAGAGTGGTAACAGCTTCAGTATAAAATGGTTGTGGTAGAAGTAGGAAAATTTGAAAAGTGTGCCTTACATAGTGCCATAATAAAGATGATGATGGTTATCATGATGACGATCAACAACATCAACATAATTTTTATTATCATTGTCAAGCTTTCCGCTTTTATGCTGTTGATGATTATGATGATGATGATGATGATGATGATGATGATGATGATGATGATGATGATGATGATGATGGTGATGATGATGGTTATGATGATTATGATGATCATGTTGATCACAATGATGTTCATATATGCATATATATACAAAATATAGCATGAATTTTAAATTTTAAAAATATACTTTAGGATGTATAAATGTATATGTAGCCTGGTCTCAAACCCGGCCCTGGATCCGGCTATATTTTATCAAACTTAGCCCCG